AATTGTGTCTATAGCATAAGAGCTGAAGATAATGTTTTCTAAGCACACAATGTAGTGGATTGTGATGGGTATAAAAGTTTCGAACATAGGCCATTTTTTAAGATGCTACAAAACACAACAGCACACTCTCAACAGAACAATTTTTTTTAAAAAAAGCAAAACTTAACCATTTCACTACTTGGAAGGTAATAAACAGCTGGGTGTTTGGTGATCAACAGACATTAAACATATATTAACTGCCTTCCTTACTGCAAGAATGTTTACCTCTTTATGACCTGAGTTAACAATACAATTATCACCCTTCGCATCTGATTCAACTGTGATCCCACCTAATTCCCGCCATGTATATTGGGCATTCCCTGAACATCCCTGAGGTTTCAATATTATACTCCATGCATCTGAGGACGTGTAGACGAGGAAAGTGCATAATAAAATGAATCTGCTTGTCTCAATTGTGCCAAAGCACTCTCTGTTCCTGTTATGGAACAAAATCATGGTTGGGAAGTATAGAAGCTATTACGAACAGGATGCGTTACTCTTGTTTGGCTATAGTATGGCCATTTTCTAGCATTTATAGCAGCCATTTTCATCCAGCTCAAGATAACATTAATGAGCTGGGACAGTGCAATGCCTTTGGGTATATTGCAAGGATGTGCAAGCCAGTTCAAGACTTCAGTGAGCCACAAAACTCACTGACTGACCTTGGCCACTCTTACATTCCATAATAATAAATTGAACATTAAGGATGTGTACAAAACTTGATCACCCAAAAAGGAATCCATTGAGGAAAGACTGCACAAAAACACTCGAGCTCGAGCTCCCCACTAGGACCTCCAATACAATGTCCCCTTGCTGAAGAGAAAAAAGGTTTGCAAAAACATATTTTGAGAAATGTACATAAAAGTAGGAATACATTTTCACTCACCCCTAAATGGTTTACAGTCTAACGTGGAAAATGGACAGAAGGAAGTAAGGAGTGCGAAAATAAGAAACCAAACAAAATTGGGCTTTACAGATTTTCTCACCCCAGCGTTCTAATGCATAGTTTGCAGTGCAATCTGAAAGTATGTTATAGAGAAGGAAAAGGAGAATGGGAAGGAAAACAAGAAAAATCAGGTTACAGACGCTTAAATTCTCTATAGCCATTGGTAGCATCATGGCATCTGCTAGAAAGCTATCGCTATCACACCCTCTTTGCAGATTTCAAATCAAGTCTACCCTTGACATAGACTGTCAGAAGAGACTAATGGTTTAGCGGAGTCAAGTACAGCATGCACTGGGCATCTGACACTAATCCAAGGAGCCAAATGTTCCATGATTCATCCACCACCTATTCGACTAGAGATTTTAAAGTTTCTCTGTTATTAATTGGTTTGTGTTCTTGTAAAAACCCTCCTAACAATGAGTCCCGCATAACCCCCAAATTAGCATGTCTTTATTTAGATGAAATTATACTTTTGCATACTTTGGAACCAAAGCAGGCTAGTAGAATTGTCCATCCATATAAATAATGGGCAAAGTTGCTAAACTTTGCTAGTAGGCAAGATGCTCAAGAAAGGGAGGAAGGACAAACCTAGAGGAGCAAATAGTTCGATGTCCAAATAGTATTATAAATAGAAGGAAGAAATGCATGAAAAACCACAGCTCTTCAATGGCAGATATAGCCCGTGAATCCCTTTGTATAACAAAGTGAACAAAATGATGCCCCAGCAGCTGAGAAATGTGCATCATTCCTTAGCTAGCACAGCCAATGCAGAGGAATTATGGGAGTTGTAGTCCTGCGGAACTGGAAGAACCATATATTTCCCATCAATGACTGTGAATGCTATATCTCTTTTTTTCATCAGTGGTTGTGCAGGCTGTATTTTTACAGACTGAAAGAGTCTTTGGACTGAGGGATGAAAGTTAGGTCCTTATCTGCGGTTTCCTACATTTCTCTAGCTAGAGGCCATTAAAAACAGTTTAAACGTAATAACCATAGTGCCACTATATCAATTTTATGACTTAATATATTATGGCAGATGCAGACACTATTCCATTAATTAAGACAAAAGTGTACCTCATAAACTGAGGTAGGTGCTGCAGAGATAGTAATATGCTTTATCTATTGATAATATTTATGTATTGCCTTCAGAACTAGTAAAAGAAAAACAATTTGGAGCCTGAGGTAAGAGGCAAGAGAATGTCCCCTTCCTTCCATGTGCAAAAGCTTCGATACTGGCAACTAATTGTTCTCCACCATCCCTGAGGACAGCAGTCCAATTTAGAGGGCAAAAGACATACCATGTGGCGAACGGGCTCTGCCCTCCAAGGGAAGGGAAGGGCTAAGTACCCAGAAGAAGCAGATGAAGGGCTGCCACTGTTGCTCTTCCAAAGGCTTCCTTTTGCTGCCTGAGCCAGTTGCTTCGTGGTACTATGGGTAGAGATGGGCACAAACCACCAAAATGGTGGTTCATCTTGGTTCATGGTTTGCGGAAGTCCACAAGCCACAAATTTATGAATTTTTCCCAAATGAACTATGAATTTGGCCACTGCTTTGTTCAGGGTTTTTTTTTAAGATAGACCCTTTTCCACTGCCCCCATTGCCTCCCTACCTTTTTCTGCATTGCCTCCTTCTCCTCCTCCACCACCCCTGCTGCCATCTTGAGAGACTGCATATCAACGAATTAGTGCTTTGTTTTTTTAATTAATTTCCTGATTTGTTGTTAACTTCATGCCCATCTCTAATTAAGAGCTGCCAAGTCACCACTAACTTCTTGCAATTCTAATAGGGCTTTCAAGGTCAGTAAGATATTTGAGGAATGGTTTTACCAGTTCTGCCTCCACTGCATGAGGTTCCATAGCTGAGCAGGGATGTGAACGCAAGTCTCCTGAGTCCCAGTCTGTCACTCTATCCGCTAATGCATAATAGGTACCTTAGGGTAGGCCCACTACTAAACAAGAGTAAAAGCCAGCAATAAAATAGTTTTAAAGCATCTGCAGGGAAGACTGAAGAAACTACTTGGATGAGTAGTTAAGTGTTTCAACCTAATAAGAAAGAAGTCCAGTTGGCATGACTCAACTTCCAGATTAAAGGGGGGAGTAAGATGTACCTCTCTAGGTAGATCTAAACGAACAGAGAAGACCCTGTCTTGTCTCCCAAGCTAATAGAGGTGCAAAGAACTACCAGTAAGCAGGATGATAATACAGTGGTGCCTCGCTTAACAACGATAATCCGTTCCAGGAAAATCGGCGTTAAGCGAAAACATCGTAAAGCGAAAATAAAAACCCCATTGAAACACATTGAAACCTGTTCAATGCGTTCCAATGGGGTAAAAACTCACCGTCCAGTGAAGATCCTCCATATGGTGGCTATTTTCACTGCCTGTATAGCAAGGAATCCATCCCTAAACACAGCGGGGAGCCATTTTAATCACCCGGTGGCCATTTTGAAACCGCCGATCAGCTGTTCGAAAAACATCGTTTTGCGAAGAATCAGTTCCCGAAGCAGGGAACTGATCATCACAAAGCGAAATTCCCCCATTCAGACCCCATTCAGACCATTGCGATCGCAAAAAGATCATCGTTAAGCGGTTTCATCATAATGTGGGGCAATCGTAAAGCGAGGCACCACTGTACTGATCTGGAATAATGCATCTTCCACAGTTGCTACATCAAGGGGTTGGGTCATAGCTAAAGGCATAGCACCTGCTTTTATGTAATGCTCTGGTAGTTTCTCCACATATCCCAGCACAACAATTTCCAGCTGAACATATCATTTAAGGCCCAGTCGTCCTTACAGTGTGGTGCAATGGATAGAAGGATGGACTGGGGCACTGGAGAATAGGGATCGAGTTCCCCACTTGGCCATGGAAACTCATTGGGGGAACCAAACTGGTAAAACCACTTCTTAAATATCTTACTTACCTTGAACACACACAGTCCTTACAGTGGACTTCACACAGTTCAGTGTCTGGAGTGCCTTGGTGGCCCTCGACAAACTGCAGGATCATCTCAGAGCACTACCAGAAAGGGAGGCTGCTAAAGCACTTCTGGTTCTTTACCATGGGAAAGGTCACTATAAAGTCAAGATCTACTTGATTGCACATGAATATTATCATTAATCATCAGACTAAGTATATAAAATACTTATTAAAAACTGTACTGTTTTCAATCCTGTTAAAAAAAACTGTAACACCGAAGGAGGCCAAGAAAGTCATCACTAGAAATCCAGTATTTTTTTAATTGTGGCCTCTCATTTATTGAATAAATTAACATTTCAGGTTCACCTGTGCCCACCATCCCAGTTTTTAAAATACTCCTAAAAATGGAACAATTTAAATTTGCCTTTTATTAATGTATGTATTAATTCCTTGAGAAGACTGAGGGGAGATAGGACAACCCTTGTCAAATACTTGAAAGACTGTCATATAGAGGAGGGGCAGGGTCTGTTCCCAATCATCCCTGAGTGCAGGACAGGCAACAGTGGATTCCAAGTTACAGGAAGCCAGATTTTGGTGGAATAACTGGAAAAACTTCCTAACTTTTAGAGCAGTACGATAGTGGAACCAATCACCTTGAGAGGTGGCGAGTGCTCCAACACTGGAGGATTCAAGGGAAATTTAACAACCACCTGGAAGATATCCTTTAATTTATATTCCTTCCAACTTCATGATTCTTTGATACCTGTGTTTCGAATTGGTTGATATTGGCTTCGGTGAGCCATGTTGCATTTTATTGTATTGTAGTGCTTTGCATTGTATTGCTTTTCCTTTGCATTAATTGTTCTTAATTTATTGGATTATTTGTATTTATGTGTCGGTTGTTAACTGCCAAAAGAGTGTACATTGCACAATCGGGTGGTATATAAGTTAAACAAACAAACAATAAAATGTCCCTGTCTTATACCATTTGGCACACTAAGTCTTAGTGATATCAGACCGCAAAAGCTATCAGAATCTCTAGATTTCAGAGCCCCACCTATCCCAAAATAAATAAATAAAAATTGCCAGTCCACTTACTTGGGTGTGTGAGCCTCATCTACCCGGTTGCCCAGCTGGAATTCATGGGATTTGCTGCGATGCAAAGATGTGAAGCCTGGGAAAAGGTGGATCAATTTCCGTGATGAGGGAGGCGGTGTGCCTGGTGGTTTGACTTTGTTCCTCCTCCGAATTGGGGGGGTGCCCGGTGGAGTCATGGTGGTAACTATGTTTGGAGTGCGTGGTGGAGTACGGGTACCATGCCGCTGGCGTGGAGAAGGGGGCAAAGAACGATGGCCAGATTCCAGTGGGGGGCACAACCCCGGAAAGCCTTCCACAGTCAGTCTATCCACATGGGTGTACACTGGCCCATGGGGCAAAGTCTGGTGGCAGTAATGCTGAATGCACTTGGACTGAGCTTTGGGACTTGGAGTAAGATGAGTTCGGATCCACTGCATGGTCTCCTTTTGGCACATTGAACTATTCTCCTTGCCTGTCTCAGTTGTTGTTGGCCACTGGATGGTCCAATCTTGCTTAGAAAGATTGCCACCTGTTAAAAAAAAAACACAACCACCAGAAGATGTTGAAAATGAAAGAAGGTGCATTTAAGTTTACTTGAGTGATGATGCACCACTTGGACAGAGAGAGACAAAGATTTCCCCTGCCTTCAAAGCCATTGCAATGCCTCTGAAATTGTATTAAATAATTGCATAAAATAAATCCTCATTTGCTTAGTTCTCCTGCATGAGGATATTAAAAATGAACTCTTTTGTCTCATGTAAGGAGAATTCTTTTTTTGGACACTCTTGACAAAGGAATGAGAACAAGAACAGTTTTGGAAGCATATTAAACACAAGTGTACAGAATGAGAGCACCTGCTGCTTTCAGGTATGGACTTTTAAGTCCTAGATGCACCAGAAGAGTTACCTGCATGTCTTAAAAATAAAAAACAAAACACAACGATCAGCCAATTGTACTATGTTTGCTCCGTACGTGTGCATGTGTGTGTCTCTATATTGTGTTCAGCTATTCAAAGTTAAAGGCAGTTTTGTGCAGAGATTGCGCAAATTATGGAGATCTTGTCAAGGAAAAAAAAGCATGCTCTTTGCCTTCTCTTGCCTCTTGCATGGCTCCAAAATTCCTCACTGAGGTATTACATTGAGTTGAAACAGTCTAGATCAATCCAAATGAAGAATTTGGTAAATATTCTTTATACCCCTTAACGGCATGATTCACATCAAACAAAGTGTAGTAGGAGAATATCTAGGGACTAAACTAGTTGGGACTTCATTCACACTGCTAACAGTGGCTTTTTTAAAAAAGCCAACGGCAGGCATTTGCCTGGATCAGGATTCTGGTGGCTTCCTAGAATGGCTTCAACACAGGCTTCAGATAGAGCACTCTTGAATTGGTTTTGGATAAAAGCTTGCAGGGACACCAAAGGAAGCTTTTGCTCCAGTGAGAATAAAAGGCTAACAGCAGATGAGGAACAACTGTCCCATCCATTTTTTAAAAAAATCATAATCCCTTTACCAATAGACATGCTGGCTCAGGCCTTGGGGAGTTGACATGCAAGTATCTGGAGGGTGAAATATTCCACACTCCTGCAGCAAGCCTGTTACACCAGAAGTGAGGGATATTTGACCCTCTAAGATGTTCCACAGTCCCAATCTGTTCTTCACCAGCAGTTTCAATTTTAAAAGCAGAAATGGACAAACACAATTTTAGAAAAGATGGGTTTTCATTGAGTACCTCTGTATCCACCAGACATTTTCATTAACAACATAAGAAGTGTTATGCTGGATCAGATGAAAGCCCTATCTCAACGGGTACATCTGATCCAGCATCTTGTTTCTTACAGCAGCAACCCAATGTGGGAAGACCCAAAACTGATGTTATATGACTCTCCACTGTTGCTCCCCAGCAATTGGCTTGAAAGGTGTCATATCCCTGGTAGTAAAGGCAAGATATAGCCATGACAGGAAGCAGTGGCTGAAAGCCTTTGCCTGTTCTTTTCCCAGAAATTCATCTCATGCTGCTTTGACATTATCCCAGGCAATGCTGAGAGGTCCCTAACAAGGAGGCTGTTCTCCTTACAATCACCTGCTGAGCTCTGACACTCCCTCCCCTTTTAAGAACTGTGCACAAAAGTCCTCTCAAAATTCTCCAAGTCATTTGAGGTCAGCATGATCTAGGGCGACCATTTTACAGAAAAGAAATTCTCCAACTGTTTCTTGGGATGGGACTCATGGTTACAGGGACACCATTTTTCTTTTTTCCATACAGATTTGTGGAGGTGGCCGTTTCTCCATCTATGAGTGGCAACAGCAAGGATTGTCTTGGCAGTCTGGCCACCAATTTTCATTCTCCTCAATAGCCCAGTCATATCCAATGGGTTCAAGACAGTGTATTTGGGCTCTCCTTCCCACAGTATCTTGAGACAGGAACATTGTGAGGTGCAGCTCAGGCTGATAGAGAGTGTGAATGACTAAACCAAGAGCACCCAGACATCATGACTCAATGCAGACTAGAACATGCAACTTGCATATCAGCATTCTAATCAATACACCAGACCTAGGAGCCTTCCAGTACATTATTATGGTAAGGGAGGAAAAAATGGCTGACATGCATGAATAAACAAATGGTAGTGATTTCTCTAAGAAAATCTTACAAAGTACTCCCCCACCACCACCGTGGATAGGTTGGTAGGGGACAGAAAGAAAATTAAGAAATTTCTCAGAATAATAATTTCTGCAATATAGTGGTGCCTCGACTTACGAATGTCCTGACATACAAACATTTCGAGTTGCGACCAGTTCGGGCTGCAAAATGGGGGGGGGGTATGTTTCTGTGCTGTGATGTTTTTTCTGTTTTTTCCGATGGGGCTGGCTGTGTGTGTGGGAGGGTGTTTTGGGGTTTTCCCCCCCATCCCCATCATGTTCCGATGGGGCTGGCTGTGTGTGTGGAAGGGTGTTTTGGGGTTTTTCCCCCCATCCCCATCGTGTTCCGATGGGGCTGGCTGTGTTTTTTGGTTTTGGTAAATTGTACTGTACTTCAGCTTAGCTGTACTTCAGCTCAGCTATCTGTTCCTTCTCCCCTACACATTTTGCCTCTCTCTCTCTCTACCTCTATCTCTATCTCTCTCTACCTCTCTCTGTCTCTCTCTCTCTCTCTCTCTCTATCTATCTATCTCTATCTTTTGCAGACATATACTCTAACTCTGGTGTCTGGCCAGAAAAATAACACATGGAACTTCACTTCATTACTGAAAGGGCTATTTGATGCAGTTAATAGAACTCATCTCCTGGCAAAAGGCAGATCCTGGATCTTCGCTCTGATGCTTTTGATCTAACTCCTCTAACAACTCATGAATGGTTTTTAAGGTAATATTTGCATTCTAAAAAGAAGTTGGTAAGTACCCAGACTCTTTCTTTTTATGCCAATTTGAGTTATTAATTGGTAGCCCCTGTTATCTCAGCAACCTTTTCAAGGAAATCAGTTTATTTCCACCTCTTGAGAAGGGAAAGGAATGGAAAGAGGCAGGTTTTAGGACAGAAAGAGAGAACATTTTAAGAGCAGTTGATTGAAATGAGGTTTTTTTAATGTCAGGATGGAGAAAATACATTTTGAGTTGTTCCTTCTAAAGCTGAGGAGAGTGTGCCGGTGCAGAGAACAATCAATGGGGAAATGAAAAGATATATAGCCTGAACACATGAACACCTTTCTTTATTCATATCAGAGCACCGCACAGTTTTAAATTGGGCCACCTTTAGGACAGGTCCTGTGAACCTGTGAACAAATGTCTACAGCCCAATTCAGCAGCATAAATGGGGAGAGAGCAGTGCGGCAGAGCTGCATGCCACCCTTTGGACATCAAGTAAATAAAATGGCAGACTTAATAGGAAGTAGAAGCAGTAGATGTTGAAGACACATACCCTCCAATAAGACCTAATTAAGTCCAGAATCTAGGCCCAACTACACCACTGCCTATATACAGATTAGAGATGAGCATGAACTGAAAAAATGGCAATTCATCATGATTTGTAATTTATCACAGTTGACTAGATAAAGGTAAAGGTTCCCCTTGACAATTTGTCCAGTCGTGTCTGACTCTAGGGCATGTTGCTCCTCCCCCTTTCCAAGCTGTAGAGCCAGCGTTTGTCCGAAGACAATCTTCCGTGGTCACGACTAGCCACGGAATGCCATTACCTTCCCACCGAGGTGGTACCTATTTATCTACTTGCATTTGCATGCTTTCGAACTGCTAGGTTGGCAAGAGCTGGGACAAGCGATGGGAGCTCACTCCATTGCATGGATTCGATCTTACGACTGCAGGTCTTCTGACCTTGCAGCACAGAGGCTTCTGCGGTTTAACCCGTAGCACCACCACATCTCACCACAGTTGACTAATCACGAATTTATGAATTTTCCCAACAACTCAATGAATTGATTCATCTTTACTTTAAAATGCTATGAAATGCCCCCCCCCCGGGACCTGGAGACACAAATTCACAGGGAGGTTCACCTGACTCACCTCTACAAGTCCTGCAAATTTGGTTTCATGCACCCGAGTTATACACCCACAAACAGCACCCCCAGGACAGTGCCCCCCATGTACCTAGAGACACCAAAGTGACACAGAAGCTTTCTCTGACTCTTCTCTACTGACCCTCCACATTTGGTGAAGTTTGGGTTTCGGATAACCAAGTTATACACCCACAAAGTGGTCCCCCAGGAAAGTGACAGAGGCAGTGGCATAGTTTGCCAATAGGCACAGAAATGGTTGAAAAAGATGTACTTTAGTTTGCTACCAAGCAATAAGGTGGATGGCACTGAGGCAGGGTTTGCCTCCAGGCACAGAGGCATTTGGAAAAGACATACTGTAGTTTGCCACCAGGCATGGAGGCCAATGGCATTGAGTTCAGTTTCTGTCCTGAGTGGGACAGAAAGAGGCACTGAGGTCAGTTTGTGCCCTGAATGGGACAGAAGGAGGCAGGCAGATAGTATGGTGGACCTGGGGAACTCTGGTGGCAGGCAGGTGGGCAGGTGCTGTGATGACAGAGACTGTCATTGGAACCCTACCTCATTGGGATCAATGGGGGGAGGCCCAACAACGGAAGGTTAACCTTGATGAACAACAACCACTCCACAGTTATGGAATCAAAATGGGAACGGCGGGGTTGGAGCATGTATCCAAGATAGGAGAAGACACACTTGCTCTGGATGCTGGTGGGGGTGTGTGGAAAGGAAGTCCATGGCCCCACAGTGGACAGCTCTGGCCATATGACCATTTCCAGAAATGGAGAGGATCTGATGGGGGGGGCTGTGAAGGCTCAGCCAGGTACTCCTGCACCATGGCCCTTGCTGGCTCCTCATCTGCTGCCTGTCTGTCCTTCATGGCAACTGCTCAACTCACCACACAGCTGCAGTAATGGGGGCTCGTCAGCAGAAGTCCCTGCCTGTGGCTCCTGTGAACCCCCTCCCCCTCCTCTGACTTGTGTCCTGGCATCCCTGGCTCCCCATGCATGTGTCATGCTCCAAACGCCCTGC